GATTGGGGAATCATTCTCAAAGAAGATGCTAATGGAATCTCTGCAATTGGACATGAGCTCCAGAAAAAAGTGATTGGGAGAGGAGAAACTATCTTAAGAATTATCAAAATGTAAATGAAAACCCAAGAAGAATGTGAGAGAAAGCTGAGAGGGGATAAAGAAGTTGACAGAAATCTGGTGAAATGTAGGGAGAGGGAGGAAGAGAGGGTGTGCATTAAAGGGGGCCATTTTGTCACTAGAAGTCCAATGCGCTATCCATTGCGCCACAGGACCACATAAAGGGGGGAATCTTGGTTGGACATTGCTGAAGTGGGAAGGAAGAAGTGTACCGTGCTCTTACTAGGTGATTTCTAGCTTCTCTGAGCAGCAGAAAGTTGTCTGATGCAAATGATCTTCAGAGATTTGAGGAGAGGAATTCTGGGCACCTTGCCAGCATGATGTAGGAGGCAGGATGGGATAATCTATGTACTATGCTTTGAATGCTGCCTGGCAAGATTAAACTCCCAATAAATGTTGCCAGCTATTGTAATGGTACCAAATTGTTTGACCCTGTGGAATTGTTTTTCTTGAACAGTGATTAACATCTGGGATATAAGCACAAGACAGTTGGCAGTTGTATTAAGTCGGATTGGGATTGTGTTAAATTGGGAGATGGAGGAACAAGGAAACCACGGAGATTGGCAAGTGTGGCAGAAATACTGTTCTGTGCAATCGTAAGTGGATTAGAAACACAAACAAACGAAGATATAAGGAGTTGCTAGATAACGAGAAAGTGGATGGTTCTTGAGCCAGTGAGTTTGATGGTGTTAAAACATTGGTGCAGAGGGAGTAACTGACTGAAAGGAACCGAGAAGAGAAGGTGAAGAGAGAGTGGGTGTCTAGAGCTTGGATTTAGGAACACAGTGGTAATCATTGATGACAGCCTTTTGGAGAGGCTATGGACAAGTGGCAAGGAGGCCAAGGTCCCTAGAAATGAGCTGATCAAAGAACTGACAACTTACCCAGAATGATGACAGGGTTTGGGGAAGAGGGGACATCTGGTGGGGCATTGCAGGCACTAAGAGATAGCATCAGGGATGGGTGATTTGTCTTATCATGGTCAGACTTTTCCAGAGAAACAGAACCATCATACGAAACACACATACACACACACACACACACACACACACACACACACACACACACACACACAGAGAGAGAGAGAGAGAGAGAGAGAGAGAGAGAGAACAGACACAACAGACACACAGGCACAGACAGACAGAGAAACACACACACACTTTACTCAGCCCCCTCATACATGGAGTCTGTCATGAGAATAGAATTCTGTGACAACGAGGCTGAGATTTCTATGGTCTACTGTTTGCAAAACTGGAGAATGGGACAAGAATTCAGTCTGAATCCATAGGCCTGCGAGCCAGAAGTGCTCAGCCATCTTGGGCAGTTCTTGTGATGGTGAGTTATTATAAAGCAAGGACACACTACACACTTGAGCTATTCCGCAAGTGGTCAGCTCCCTTTCTGTTTCCTTTTTATGTTTTGAGCAGGGGAAGCCTCTTGCTAGGGGTCAAGGTTTGTTCTATTTGGAATCTCTTGTCACCAGAATTGTGAACTAAGTAGACTTCTCTCTCTCTTTTTTTTTTTTATAAAGATACCTTGTTATAACAATAGAAAATGGACCAAGATACTCTACCTATTCCAGAACACTGGATGTGGCTTCTTGGACAAAGACCAGAGATGTAGGGCAGCCTGGTCACAGTAAGTCAAGGGCATAACAAGAGAGTCTGGGTTGACTGGCCTTGGTAGAAAATTGTTAGATAGACTATACGAGGCCATCCAATAGAAACTATCCCTGGGATGCAGGTGTGACAGTAAGAAGTGGATTAAGACTGATAACAGTTATTAAGAGTAGGGCCAAGTTGGGAGGGTGTGGTTATGCCATGGGTGAAGATTACTAAAAATACAGTCCTCTCCAACAAACAATAGAATGGATCCTCCACCTACTCGCTCACCCAGAAATCAGGCCACACCCCTGCAATCATGCTACACTCCTGCAGTCTCTCTCCTGGACAGAGTTGATGGCAAAAAATGCTGTGGTCTTGTAGCAGTCACAGAGCTGAGTTCTTTCCCTCCTCCTTGAGGCTGCAGGCAGAGCCTGATCCCATCTTTACAGCCAAGAGCCAAGGCAACCTAAATTAAAGCTAGTCTTTATCAGACCCTCATTGTACATATGTGGTTAAGTCATATGGTATGCAACTTTGTTGGGGAAGTCCTGTTATTTGCCTGTGCATTTGTCAATAAAGTACTGTCTGGCCAATAGAAAACCTAGATAGGAGGGACTAGGAGTCGAGGAGGATTCTGGGTAGGAGAAACACAGGAGAGTCGACATGTGACGCCATAGGGGTAAGAAGCCGGGAACTATTCTCCGGTAAGAAACATATTTAGATTAACAATTATGGGGTAATTACTTAAGGCAGAGCTAGCCAGTAAGGGACAAGCAAGGCCAACAGCTTCATAATTAATATAGCCTCCTGTGTGTTTATTTGGGACTCAAGCGGATCTAGAACCAGGCTGGCGCGGCAGAGCCCAGGTGACTGGCGGGGGATAAACCAAAGCGGCTAGCAAAGGAAAAAGCTTCCCTTAACACAACTTATTTCCCTCCAAAAAGATAGATACCCCCTTTCTTCTTTGGAACTGAAGGGTCTGTCTCCCTTGAGGACCCTATGGGTCTGTCTATGTAAACTTCTTGATCCTTGGGAACTGAAGTGAATTGAAGCTTTCACGCATAAGGACCCCTGCAACGATATTCACAACAGCTAACACACACACTCTCTCTCTTTTTTTAAGACAGGGTTTCTCTGTATTGTTTTGGAGGTTGTCCTGGAACTCGCTCTGTAGACCAGGCTGGCCTCACAGAGATACACCTGCCTCTGCCTCCTGAGTGCTGGGATTAAGGTTTGTGCCACCAACGCCCAGATGATAGCTAACTCTCTTAATAAGGCTCCATTTGGAAGGGTTATTTTGTCTCAGCTTTCTTTTTGCAAGCCTATAGCACATTTTATCTTCAACAATGTCTATTTTGTGCTAAATATCTCGAACTATGCCGTCTTTCTTGACATTCCCGGTCACTTTGGCAACCTTATCAATAGGAATTATTGCCACAAACCTGGGTCCTGGGAACCTGATTAGGGTGATGAAGAAAGGACAGACACATAGACACATGTGCAGAAAAGCTGGGATCTGGTGGGCTGTGCATTCTGATGGAGATGTACCAGGAGCCTGGAAGCTCAGTGCATTTATTATACACCACTGGGTGAGGAGGCATCTTCACTGCATAGAGCTGAGCCAGGAAGAGGTGGGTTAGCTAATCTAGGTAGGAAATCTCCGTAGGCGAGCAGTCTTCCTGGGAAAAGGAGCTGCAGCTGATAGTTTCTGCACACACTGGTTTTAGCTCAAGGTTAATCATGCCTAACATCTGTACTTGGACAAGGGGAAGGCTTTGCCATTCCCATGAGTGTGAGGCATTGGAATTCTTGACATGGCTGTGTTCACATCATATTCACTCAGGACTTTATCTGCTCCCCACAGCTTATTATATTTCTGTGATGAAAAAGCAAGGCTCAGTGATATTAAGCAATTTGCCCAGCTATCATAGAATTATTAAACCTTGAAGCCAAGATGCTAAACTAAGTTCCTGAGGCACCTTACATTTACTCAGGAAAATGTGGCAAAAAGATTAAGAAGTCTCCATGATCACCACCTACACAATGTGTCAAGACAGAACTTCAAGCTTGGAAAACAGGCAGGGAGGAAGAGCGGTGGAAATAGGTGTGGCCATAGCAGGCTGGATCCAAGCCAATGTCAGTTTCCTGGGAGCACGTATGGGGGTGGGGGGGTCTATTCTTTGCGGGAGTGGGGAGTCTATTCTTGTGGTTGGGCAATAGCAGACATTTCTACTGAATGAAGGTGAATAGGAAGGCAAGGTCATACTCGCTTCATCTGAGCTGGAAGGCACCTTGCCCGAGGGATAGGACAGGGTGGCTACTCATGAGAAAGGTCTGCAAAGACAGGAGAAAGGACAATGCTTCTGCAGATGAGCCACTTGCCAATCATTTGGAACATGGAGAGATTCTACAGAGCTTGTCGACACAGTGACAGCCTTGAGACCATGAGTCCTGGGTGCCAACAGGCATAGAGGACTGTACTCTTGCAGCTCGGGGGCACTAGCCTGAGTCTGCATGGACTACGGGGGCTGCCCTGTGCCCACCGCTTAGGGCTACAGAGAAAGTTGGTGATACCAAGTCAGAGGACACAAACTGATGAGGAGTTCCGTATTCAGTTTACCCATTCAAATGTCAGAGGTGAGGATGGAGGATCTGTTGACCAGATGTTTGCTGACCAGGTCAGTTTGTGGCTCGCATGAAGATGAAGTGATGAGCAGGCGTTTGAGTCAGGCAGGTGATAGACCCCAAGGAATGTGAAGTTAGAGACCGAGAAGCTTTCATCAGACACTCTGCCGTGCTGTGGAATGAATCTGTTATGATCCACAGACAGCTCTAGACCCTGCCTAGTTTGTATGGGAGACATAGACCTAAAATGCCTGCACGGGGCATGTGTTCTCCAGGTCCCTGGCATCTCACAGCTGGACAGCCCAGCTTCTGTGTATGACCTGCCTGGGATGTGAGCATTCCCAACTTGCTGTTGATCTGTACGTACATCTTGAGGTATCCATCAGCCTCACCCTTGTATTCATGCACTGGACCAAATGGCACCCTTCCCCTCACCCTGCTGCAACCTCTCTGAGGCCAGGGAGCCCTGCATGATAAGGGAAGGGAGCTCCAGTAGGAAGAAGGAACAAGATGAAGGCTGACTTGCACAGCAAAGACTAAGCCAGATGGAATTCCACTGTGGCTCAGTGGGCAGCATATTAGTCGGGGTGCTGTAAGGAGACAAGAGCTGATAGAGTGGATCTATATTAAGGGGGATTTATTAGATTGCCTTACATACTGTGGCTCTTGTAGTCCAACGATGGTGTCTACACTGGAGAGGCTGAGAATCAGCAGTCGCTCAGTCCATAAGGCTGGATGTTTTGCAAGCTCCAATTTGGTTCTAAGGGCCTGGAGGATTCTTGGAGAGCTGCTGGTCTTCAGGCTACTTTGGAAGCCTGAAGAATTTAGCTCTAATATCGGGACAGAACTTACCAGTAAGAGTGAGGGCAGCAGGCAAAAAGTGAAAGTTTCCCTCTTCCACGTCCTTTTATGTGGGCTGCCACCAGAATGTGCTGGCCAAGTTTAGGGTGGGCCTTCCTGCCCTAATCTGATCAAGAAAGTCCCTCACAGGATGCCCAGCAGCTTGGGTTTTAGTTGACTCTAGATCAGGTCACATTGATAATCAAGATTAGCCATCACGGCCTGGCAGCTCTTGCACAGGCTTCCTAGTTTCATGCTGCTAGCTGTACCATTGGGCAGAGCTTATTGAATAAGCCTGGCAGAGAATGGGAGCAATGGCTACTTCAGCATTCTTCAAGTTTTCATTTTATCAACACATAACTGTGTGTACTTCCACAGTTCCGTGTGAAAATGTCATATCTGCTGCTATGAAAGAGCAAATGACAAGGACTATAGCATTTCTTTCTCTTTGTTTGCTTTTCAGTTACATAGTCTAGGCTGGCCTGGAACTTATAGCAATTCTCCTGCCTCAGTCTTCCAGCAGTTGGGATTACGGGAATGCACTATCATGATCAGCAGCATCTCTGTCTTAAACATTTGCCATGTGTTCATGTTGGGAGACTTTAAACTCCTCCATTGGTTCTTTATACATTCCGTGGTAAAGTAGGAGCTGCAGTCCCCGCTGCTCTGTGGAACATGGGAAGACACCAGACTCTGATTGGTTGTGTTTTGGTCTCTGTTGCCCAGCTTCCCTCCAGTTCCATCCTGGACCAAGCAGTCTTCTGCTTTCTGCTTCTATGAAATTGACATGTTAGCTTTCATGTGTGCTCCAGTTTGCTTTCCGTTGTGCTAAGAGACAGGACCAAAAACAACCTGTGGAGGAAATGGTTTATTTCACCTTACAACTGATAGTCTATTAAGATGGGAACTCAGGGCAGGAACTGAAGCAGCCACCTGCCCAGGGGATGGAACCACCCATAATGGACTGGGACCTCCCACACCTATCCTTTATCAAGAAAATACGCCAGAGATTTGTCTACAGGCCATCTGATGAAGGCAGTCTCTTAATTATGGTTCCCTCTTTACAGACAACTCTAGTTCATGTTAGGTTGAGAGAAAAAGAAACAGACCCACACATGTATGAGGACATTATGTCTTTCTGTCCTAACTTATTTGATTTGACATGTCATCGTGTTCCATCCATGTTGCCCCACTGACAAGATTTCATTCTTCTTTCTGTTGAATGATACCCCATTGTACATTACTCACTCATCTGTCATCAGACACCTCTACTGGTCCAATAACTTGTCTGCATGAAGAGTGATGCATCCAGAAGGGACCATGCATGTTTATTCGCAGGGCTGGTAGGGTGGTGCCACTGAGAGTCATGGACTGGGTCTTGAGGGGAGGGAGGCTTCAGGGAAATAGGAAGAGGCCAGCAGGGCTGGGAACACTGGATCCAGGAAGGGTGCTGCTCTTCATAGAAGTTGTTTGTCCCTCCTGTTAGTTTACAAGGTTACTGGGATGGAGGCTGTGGATTGCCAGAGGTGGCTGGGGGTACCAAATGTATCCCAGACTCACTTGGGTTTCTAAGGCCTGGGGTAAAGAGAAGAACATTACCTATTCCGTGGATCAGGTTGATGCATGGTACATGCTACAATGGGAATATTTCAAATATTTTAGATCAAATAAATTGTTGCTGATGATTTCAGTGGTTTCTCTGTGCTCTTTTAATGTGGCTATGAGAAAATTTGAAATCACACATGTGGTGTGTGTCACACTTCTGCAGGGCACTGCTGGTCTACATTGTTGTTAAATTTCTAGAACTAAGATATGAGAACACAATTGATCTCGATCTCTCTCCCGCTGTCCTTCTCTCCCTCCCCCATCTCCCCAGCATTCCAGATACTTCCACAGTTGGACACTAACCCTGATGAACTTTTCTCTTGATATTCTGACATAGAACAACAGATGCCCACCCTGCTTTTGCCCCCAGACCATGGCCTTTTTTGCGCTAATGACCGGCACCCATTTCCCCCTGTGTTCTCACCCTCCATTCTTGTCCTCTCCTCAAACCCACAGCATGCTGTTTTCCCACTTTGTCCAGTGACCTCAGAGGCTTGGGTGTGTGAGGTGAGGCATGCTGAGAGAAAGAAACGCATAGCTATATTGTGATAATAATGAATTGCGTTTCCCAGACATTGGGAGCTGGCATGATGGAGCTGTTCTGTGTCTCAGCTGTGATGCTGGGCTTGGCAGCCTGGCTGGTACTTGACAGAATAAGACATAACTAAATGATCATTCCCCTGCACAACCAAGGTCAGCAGCATTGTTCGAACTATCATTGCAGGTCAGGAACAACTTTCTTAAGCAACTCTATTGCCACTTGATTTAGTGTTTCCTGGCACCTTGCCTATCACAGAATGAAGCCACAATTGCTTCCTATACAAAATGTTATCCATACAACATCTTGCCAGAAACCTATAGAAGGCTGAGCAGCCTGTGGGCTTTGATAATTTATGACTGGACTTTGTATTGAGAATAAAGTTGACAATGGACCCTATTGTTAAATTGGACTATATATTCAACAGAACAGTTCCCAAATGCAAAAGGAGTTTATACAACATTTGTTCCAAAGTCAGGAGAAAAATGGACTCCAGTCGGAGGAAAAAAATTCAACAAAATATTTTTACTGTGACACATGAGAAACAGTGCCCAATGACTTTCCTGCTGATACGTTCATTATACAGAGAAAGATGTGTGGGTGGAAGGTGTGCGGAGGGGTGACATGAACATGACCAAAACACCAGGCCTTCCTTCAAATTAGCCCGCTTGGGGTGGTGTATAGGTCCTTGGGAAGTATGGGGAGCTAACCTTTGAGAACCCTCTGGTTTTGTTTGGCACATGTGCCTTGCAGAAGGAACAGACCTGCTGCCCTGCACAGGCTCACAGTGATGCTGTATCCTTGCTGACACTTATCATAACTATGAGGCCAGTTCAGAAACGGTAATTGTCCTAAGATGGGCTCTACAAAGAGCAAAGACATTGTTGGGGCTGTGAAAAGAAGCCAGAGCAGCCCCACCATGCCCACACATGCCTGTCAGAGTCAGGCTGCTGGGATCTAAGTGTCTCCCAGGCTGCTCCCCTCAGACTGCTCCCTTTAGGCTGCTCCTCCCAGGCTGTTCCCCTCAGACTGCTCCCCTTAGGAGACCTCTCTCATAGAACCATACTCTCTCTTCCTTCCCTGACTCTGGAGAAGATTGGGTCAGGCTGGAAAACACTGAGTTCTGGGAACATCATACCTTCTCCATGGTGATGGCCATAGAGAGGACCACCAAATAAGAGGACGTGTGACTCAAGGAAAGCCACTGATGAGTTGGAGCAGATATTTCCCTAAGAAATCAAGTTTCTGCAGGAGACCCAGAATCTGGAGAACACCCTGATGGTCGTTTCTGGTCTGCTTCAAATGAGCTTGGCTTCAGGAAAGTTGAGTAGAGTCAAGCAAGCAGTTTAGGGACAGCAGAAGGAAATGAAAACTAATGTTTACTTCAAAACTGAAACAGAAGAGGGCAAAAGGACATTCAGAAACTAGACTTGATGGAGCAGAGTCAACTCTGACATCCCAGAGCTCAGAGGAGACAAATGATAGTCAACCAGTGAACGGCATCCAGGACATAAATGTTTAATTTGTATATATTACACATATAAAGACTTTCAGGAAGAGAGCCAGCAATACAGTTATTATCAAATAGCCATTTAGGGAGAACTTTCTTAAGCTAACGAAAGACTTGAGTTTTCTGAATAACAGAATTAATGAGAGATTTTAATATCTAGGCTTATACTCTAAGTTGCTTTGATTTCAAGACCAAATAAACAAATTCACTGAGAAGCAAAGCAGTACCCTGGGCTCCAACTTTGCCTTTGGAACAAGAAGATGACATTGACCAGTCTCTGCAGAATCAAGATGAAGCAAAGGCCTGTAAGCCAAGTGAGGCTGCCAGGATAAAGGAGAAGCGCCCAGGCCAGGACAAAGGGGAGGTGCCCGGGCCAAGTTCAGGTTAAAGGGGGAGGCGCCTGGGTCAGGTTAAAGAGGAGGTGCCCAGGCAATCTTGGGGGTGTGTTATTCTATAAAAGCTGATGTTCAAAATGAAAATGTGTCCCGCTCCTGCACCTGCCTAGATTCCTGTTGGTCCTATTGCAGTAGGCAGTAGTCTTTGAATACATAAACTCAAATCCATGTACCCTACATGAGGGCCTGGAAAAAATAACCTTAGTTGAGTCAGATAAGCCAATTGAGTGAGGAATCAAAATATCAAACTTGAGTGGAGGATTCATGGTATAAGAGTCTAATGAAAAATAAACAACTCCTTTCCTCTAAAGGAAACAAAAACTCATAAAACAAAATTAATTCTCAATATTATACTAAAACATAATAAAATGCCAAAAGCAATTTTTGAGAGAGAGTCACATGCTTAAAAGTCGTCCAGCTAATGATAATATTATACTTCAAATGACTACCACCAGCAAAAGCTGAGAAATGAGTGGTCAGAAGACAAGACTATCCCTCATAGTTTAGAGAAAAGAGTCTATTGACATCACTTCATTTTGACAATAAAAATTAGGTGAAATGGATTTGAGTGCATATTGATTAAGCACAATTAATAAAAGAATTACAAAGTAGATATGATTCCCAAAATCAGGAAGGAAAGATCAAAACAAAAATAGTCTGCATATGAAAAGTTTTATTAAGAAGAAAAATAAAATAGCAGAAATGAAATCAATTATATGAATCTCATTAAGAAAATGATTATGATGAACTTTCATCTTGAATAAGAGATTTTATGTTAGGTTAGAAATCTAAATATTGCATTATTTTACCCAGTCAATTAATAATATTAAAAGAAGGCAATAGGAGACGACATAGTGAGTGAATTCAAACACTAGGAGAGCAACCATGGGAACCTGAAAGGGGAGCAAGATGGGACCCATGACTGACACAGTCAGTATGGTAACTGTGTTAATTTATTTAGCTAAACAAAAAGAGCCCCAAAGAAACTGTAACAACTTCTCACTCTCACATGGTGAGTATAAGGTATCCAGCTTAGTTATCAGAGTTTTAGAAGGGT